AATAAAGGGCTATAGTTGACTTGGTCTTATGGACAAATCACATTTAATTAGAAAATGTAAATCTAGTGTTCAATACAGCTTAGAATTCAGGATTGAATATTTTCTCTGTCATTCATCTATGTAACAGCAATGTTTCTAACCTAATGACAACATCTTGTGATGGTTCACCTTGAATTCCACCTCAGAAATGAGAAAACCTTCATGCATTTCCCTCGACAGACTCAACAAGCTGCCTTGAAGCTGTAAGAGAGAGGATGATCGGCTGTTTGTTTAATAACACATCATTCCCTTCATTCCGAGCCTCATGCTTGGAAGAATTTGAGGGAATTTTGAGGGCGAGACTTTCACACCAGACGTATGTTGACACCAGGAAAAGAGGTGGAAGTGAGAATGCTGGCAGTGAAGGGACTGTCTGTGCTACAGCTGCCACCTGTGAGCTCACTAATATCCCATAACCTTCTCAAGGCCAGAGGATAAGAGCCGAATGAAGACCTCATCCACCCCCTGGACTGAGACTCCTGTCACTATTATCTCAGCTGAAGCTGAGCTGTTCTGTCTACTGAGAAATGGTGAATTAATTTCATAGGACCTCTAATGTCTCGTGCTTCTCATATTACTGATTTACACAAATTACAACATTTGATTAAATTACTGTAAATTATATAAATGTATTGAGTGGATGAGTCTGGTGAGAACCTTTTACAGAATTGTAAAAATACAACAAAAAAAAACTAATTGACCCTTTGCAGGGAGCTTGATTGACAGGCGATCTGACCAATCATAATGCAGAATCCACCGTTTTGTCCGACAAATAAATCAGACAGCAGAGTAACTTCAGTGGACTTTGAAATGGTGTGTACTGATGTCTTTCCACGGTTGAAATAAAATGTCACAACACATTAAAGAGCCACAAAATGGTATTTATTGTTTGAAGTTCTTTAAAAAATGACAAAATTTGAAAGGTAAGACTTTGTTTTTTCTTTGTTCCGCGATGTATTTTTCACTGCGTGAGAACATGATGTGTGGCGTGAGAGCGGCATGGCGTGTCAGACATAGTTACAGTAAATAAGGGGGGCGGGTGTTTGCGAAGGGTCAATTAGCTAGACGACAACATGACCACTTTGGTCACATGACCACCATGTTAGTGTTGATATCACAGTGTAATTTCAAATTAATACTGACCAAAAAAAAAGTAGTAGTAATTATTGTGTATAGCATCTCATTAGATGATTTGAACCCCTGACTACAAGTATTACACTTTGGCATAATTTGTGCTATGAATAATATCTCAAAATGTGTGACTCGTGAGTGGGGTCACTTGGCTTGGTCAAGTATGTAAAAACCTAGAAACCGCTCGTGCAATCACAAAGTAATGTGCCAACAACCGTTCTGAACATCTAAGCAAGTGCATAACAACACCCTGGCAACCACCAACAATCTGTGGATGGGTAAATATATTTACTTCACATATTTACTCCGGTTTATTCAGAGTTTTTGTTATTTAAACTCATTACATTACCATAATATGTCTGACCTGCACACTGTAAGCGTCCTTAAAATACTAATTGGTAATTTAAAGGGATAGTTCACCCAAAAATGAAAATTCAGTCATCACGTACTCACCCTCAAGTTGTTCCAAACCTGTATGAATTTCTCTCAGCTGTTAAACACAAAAGAAGATATTTTGAAGAATGTTGGTAACCAAACAGTTGACGGTAGCTATTGACTTCCATAGTATGAAAAAAAAATACTATGGAAGTAAATGGCTGCCGTCAACAATTTGGTATAGAAAATATAGCACAAACACACTTTCCAAGAAAAACATTTCATAAAAAGATGTTTGATAAACCTCAAATGATAAAAAATAAAGACAATGAAGATAATAAAGAAAATAAAGACAAAAAGTAAATGAAGACAAAAAGGACATTTTCTGGTTGTCAGATATTAGTGGAACATATCTATAATGTGATGAACTGATTTTACATTTTAAATTTTACACTCCATACTCCACTAAAAATGAGCAAAAATGAAAATGAAGGCATTTGCAGATGGATTAGTAAAGAATCACTCACTCAGAGTGTGACCACTGATGCAGAAGACATCACACAGTACTGCTCAACACTGCCCTCTATTGCTGGCAAGAGACTACAAAATACTAAGAATCAGACCAAATGATTCAGCCATGAAGAGATCACCATTATACCAAAAAAGCAAAAAATAGGGTGGACCAGGATGGGGTGAGCAGACTGACTTAGAGAGGAACAGGTTTTACCTTGTCCGAGCCCTGTAGCTGGTCTGATGACAGGGATCATTCCCAACTGAACTTCATTCCAAAATCATGACATCCACTAACCTGCAGCCTCTCCAGACACGCTTCCCGATGACTAATGAGATGTAATTGAACAAGCTGTCACTAAACAATGCGTGTGCAGGTGGAAATGACATGGAAATTACACTGATAGTAATGACTAATAGTTTGCAGTTTGCAGTCACTGAATGTTTATGTAGTGGCCTGAGGGAAACATTCTTGGAAAGACAGAAAACGAACCCAGATTTCCAGGGGGATGCTTTTCTGGTACATTTTATACTATGTGGATTTTAAATCTTTTCAACAAGAGCTCTTACCCAACCTTTGACTACATAATCTGAGAATGTAACTACAGTCCAACATGAAAATGACACGTTGTGACCCCGGCCTGCCCAGATGTGTAGTTCTGACCCGTTACACGCTCGAGGTCAGAGAACAGAATCAGCTCTGATCCTAACAGCACACCCTTTCATTGATGCATCTGCACTATGGCCCAGGAGCAGAGGTTGAGTAATACAGAGACATCAGAGCAGGTGGGCGCATGTTGAGCACTGAATCACACCCCAGACAAAAAGCACAGTGGAACACAAGAAATATGTTTGTGGGTTGATTCCCAGAAAAATAAAACCATGTGGGCAGAGCATAATTTTAGATGTGGATATTGTTTAATACAAGCAAGTCATGCATGCACACAAAGCAAGAACTGTACGGTCTGTGTCAGCAACGGTATTAGATATTAGCTCACCTATTAAATTTGCAAAATGGGGCATTAAGGATTGAAACACAATTTAATACACAATGAGATTTGGTCTACTCTGAAATTCATACAGTATATCAGAGCCCAAAAACAAAACCTTTCATCAGTACTGGGGCACATGTTTCCTGATAAAAATGTGTCCCCATATTTTGATACTCTTCTATGATACAGTTACGGCTAACTTGTCTTTACCTGCTGTATGAAGTTGTTCACAACCTGCTCCCTCAATTAAAAGCTGACAAATGATAGAAGACTTTGAAAGTTTTGTTTCCTAAAATGGATAGGTAAATATTCACCTCATTCGGTGCTCTTTTTGTTTTCTGTCTTAGAAACTATCCCTTACTGTTTTCGTGTAAGAAACCGCGGCAAACGATTCAGTGCGACAATGACCTGTCCGACCCAGACAGCAACATAGTGTTGGCCCAGATCCGGTCCACATCTGGCCCGTTTGAAATCCATGCGGACCAGATGTGGGCTGGATCTGGGCCGACACTATGTTGCTGTCTGGGGAATTAATCAAACTGATTTGCCAATAAATTCAGACCTTGTTGATTGAAAAGCAAACCCGTGAATCTGCTCCGCTAGTTCTGATTCTGAACAGTTGACATGATTCCCATATCACATGACATGACTGCTGAATATTATTTGGCAAAATGGTTATCAGATCGGAATACGGTATTCTTAGCGTAAAATAATAAGTATCAGTAATATTTCACCAAATATACATGACACAACGGTGTCATGAGTAGCTTATTCAGATATTGTCCCCTCCTGGCAATGGCTATGTCGGCATTGTTCAGGCCTATTGCTAATAAATAAATAACTATATGTGACCCTGGACCACAAAACCAGTCATAAGTTGCACGGTATCAAAGCTTAATTTTTGATTAGTAATATGCAATGCTACGAACTTCATTTGGACAACTTTAAAGGCGATTTTCTCAATATTTTGATTTTTTTGCCCCCTCAGACTCCAGATTTTCAAATAGTTGTATCTCGGCCAAATATTTGTATCTTTTCCTATCCTAACAAGCCATACATCAATGGAAAGCTTATTTATTCAGCTTTCAGATGATGTATAAATCTCAATTTAAATAAAAATGACCCATATGACTGGTTTTGTGGTCCAGGGTCACATATAGTTATAAATGTTTTTTTCTGATCACTCTGTCAGGATGTAGTGATTTACAGTCGCATATATTTCATTTCAGGCATTTGCAAACAGGAAGGGCTGGAATGCTGGATGAAGGCCCGGTCAATATCTATTCACCGGATGGGATTCATTGAGAGAATACCATGGACTATTCAATACACATAACAGGTCAGGTAGCAGTGCTCAGATACTGCATTTTACAACTGCGTAAAGCAACACAAGTATGTTTTATAAACACAATGATCCACATTACTGATGTGATCATCTTTGGCTCCAAAGAATAATAGAATTAGTAAAAAATTGTAACTTGCCAATTGCTGTAATGTGTGACAAGAATGAAAATCTTGTAATAAATCAGTTTAATTTCAGATGATCCCTCATGCACCTGAGTCAACTAACACTAGTTTAGTTGGAAGAGAATAACAGACATCACCTCTTAAGAGAGTACAACCTTGAATCTGCTGGCAGGGTGCAGTGATGCTGGAAAATAGCTATAATTGTAGTGACCGGATAAAGTCAAAGCTTATAATGAAGCCAATTAGTCTGTAAATGAATGACCAGGGCTCAGGAGACCACATGTGTGCTGGCTGAGTGTGAGAAGAAAAAAAAGACAAGAAAAAAAGACAACGAAATAGGTTTTAAAATGTAAATGAAAAATCTAAGTATAAATAATAATATATAATAAAATAAATTATTAATACTAATAATAATATATAATAAAATACTAAAAATGGCAAAAGAACCAAAATGAGTTTTGAACAATGTTAACACACTCAGAGATAAACTGTTCCATCCTTTATTAAACATAGCTTGCAAGTGATAAATATTACAAAGTTATTTCCTCCAAAATTAGCTTTTTTTTTTTTTTTTCTCAGTCAATGCATAATTGTTGTTAATCAACCGGCAGTAATCAAACAGCATTTTTTTCATCACCATTTTAGACAGTTAAATATCAAGGATGTGCAAAAGGTCTGGATTAATGTTCTAAATGAAAATAAAAACTTGACAAAAAGAACTTATTTTCCTTGACTAAAATCAATAATTGTTTAAGCCAATCTCCGTATTTTATTTTTTTTTTTTTTTTTTTACTGTACACATTTTTAATTATTCATAGTTTTCTTTTACAAACGGATTTCAACATATTGCCATTTGCTTTAAAATTCAAACGGGGTAAATTGCAGCTAAGTCTATTTAAAAATATTTGCAAGTTCAGATGAAATTTAGAAAATCAAAAAGAAATGAGGATCCAAAACCCTCTCTCCCACTTCAGTAACAACAAAAAAGACTTACTTGCAAACAAACGAAAATCAGGGAGAGGAAAAATTGCAGAAAAAAAAGAAGAAAAAAAATTAGAAGTAAACCCCAGCGTTAGAACTCCAGAAAAGCTGATTGTCCAGTCAGAGAATTATGGACAGTGATTCCATGACATGAAACTTGTAAAAGTATATCTAATAATGTCACAAACCTTAGAATCAAAACTTGCATGTGTGCAAATTGTCCATTTTTTGTCTTATGATTTAAAGGCTGAAGGCAATAAGCATTGGAACAGTCAAAAACAAACAAACAAAAGTTTTTTCTTCATCGTATACAATGTATACAATCTTCCATGAAAAAAATAAGAGCATTGTGATTTTTTTTCCCAAGAAAGAAAAAAGGGATATACTGAGGAAAGTTTGTACTTTAAGCAACAGAAAACAAATGTACACAATCTCCCCTGTAGGGTTTTCTGCACCCAGTAATTTAGCTAAAAGTAATGTTATTGAGCAATAGCGTGTTTTGATTTTACATTTATGATGAACGCTTTGGATTTGGTCGAGTGAGGGGTAATACTGTCAAATGTTTCATCCAGTCCATGTTCTGCAAGATCAACACTTTGTGTGGGACATTAGAGAAAGAAACTTGTTCACCGAACATCTACGTAACTTCAATGTTTGAAATAAAAAGCAAAAATCAAATAAAAGATAGGTAACAAAAAAAGTAACATACGAGCCTGTCCCATCATGTCTCAGTCCGAAGACTAGAGAATGGATCAAACGCTCCACCAGAACAATGAACTTTTTTTTCTTCTGCAAATACTACATACTACAAAAACGTACAGCCGGGGAGAAAATGCATCTAAAGAGCTCATTCAAAAACAAGAGAAGTATAATCCCATACATTTTGCACATTTGTTACACAATAATACACAGTGATCACAAAACGAAATGACAAGCTTCACAATATTCATGGCTTTTTGTTTGCTTTTCTACACAATATACAACCATTTTAATTTCATTTCATTATTTTTAATTCAAGGGAGAAAAAAAAAAGCATATGTACAATAAGTCATTATTACTTCTGACCTAGCAAATATCGTGTCATCATCTGTTCATACATTTTTTTTTTTGTTTGATTAAATTTGATTTTTTCTCCTTTTTTCTTTTTTTTTTTAAGAAACAGCTGAAATTAAACAACCAAACAAAAATGGAACTTAATTGAGGAGTCAAAAGGAAGTTAAACTTCAAAATTCAACTTTCTCGTAAATATATGAACACAGGTATATGGATGCATCTAATATAGTCTACAAGAGAGAGCAGGAGAGAGAAATGAGTTACTATAAACACCCTACGTTCATTTCAAAAGAACAACAAAAAACAATACAGACCATAAAATTGGAACAAAGATAAAATCAACCCCTTAATATCAAAGATTGAACAGAATGACTAAAAGGGACTGATTTACCAGGAAAAAAAATAATAAATGTAAACATCCTATTATCTAATATTGCACCTGAAAATTTCATCCAAGGTAGCTTCAAAAATTTTTTGTTCAAAAGTTGCATCGTTCCACCACAAATCAGTGGCATTATACAGGACAGTTAAAAAAAACTAAATCAAACTGCAAGGATCAGTGACTATACACATGACAGAAAAACGCATGTGTATGGATTTCTTTCCATTAATTCACCATCAAACACATAATAGCTTGCGAGCTTCACAGCTATTAAACATGACCTGCATGACAGACCTCAAAGTCTGATTTCCAAAAGAACCAAACATGTCATGGTAAATGCTTAGGCTGGGGGGGAAATGTTAAGTGCTCAACTTCTTGTCAACAAGCAGATGTTAAACCCTTTGAAAGCCATTTGTGATCCACGTTACCGAAACATGGAGCACTACCTCACTAACAGAGAACTAAATCTGATCAAGAGATAATCGTGAGTCCAACCAGAATGCAAAATCATCCTGCACAGAATCCCTAATACTGCATATTGACTAAACACTGCTTATATTGTTACCATCATTCAACAAACATAAAACAAACACATGTACCATAATGTGGGTTTGAAAAACCGGACTCTTTCGAAAAGATGAAATGCACCGCACAACGCACAAAAAGTCTTTCTCCCAGCTCTCTCCGAGACATCCGATGGCATCCATACCTTAAGATCCTGTGAGCTGAAACATTCTTGTCCTCTTTTGCTTATCCATTTGTTTTCGTTTTTTTTCAATTATTAAGAAGAAAAGTGCTCCTCCATAACGAGGCATCTCATGTGCATTGCTTTAACACGATGATTGATCCTTGTCAATGCTTTCTGTTAAAACTCACGTTAACAATCTACGCATAACCGTTTTCCCAATAACTCCACCTATTTGCCATTTCAATGATTATCGTCTCCAGTGGCAAGTACCTTTAAGATACGTGGCCATTTCAGATGGAGACGCCGCCCGATTAAAAAAAAAAAAGAACAAAACCGTAAAGACAGGGAGGGGGTGGGGGGTTAAAAAAAGAGATCAAAAAACACCCAAGCAGAAACACAAAGCAAAAAGGAGACAAAGTTCATGATGATGGAACTCTCTGGCTTCATTCTTTGCTGTGCAGTGAAACGCACCGTCACCACAAACAAACTTACATGACATCACTGCATCCTGTGAAAGTGAAGGCATTGAGAGACACGGGAGAGATGCTGTTCGTAGGCTCATGCACTCCAATTTTACAGTTCTCTCTGTACATTCGACAGCAGGGGACTCATCCGTGCTAGTGCAGGTCCCATTTTCCCTGTGGCCTTCTCAAGGCAGAACCAACGCTGACTAGATCAGCAGCGCTCTGCATAAGGATCAATCTGATCAATGTACATGAGTCGGTCTCGCTCTTTCTGAACCAGAAGGTTCTTGGAGGACTTTGTAGTTTTCAAGCGTGTAACGCTACAAAGATTCTGCTCTCTCTCTCAGGTAAGAACGCTTTAACCATTCCAACTTCGAAACTGAACATATACGACATGAGAGAGAACGAGTCTAATTTTACAGGGGCGACTGAGGGAGGAAGCTTTCAAATTAACCAAAAAAACGAGCTTTTATATTTTTAAGTGACCCTGCAATCTGACACCCCCCCCTCCCCCTCTGATAAGAAAAACATAAGGGTAAGAACATAAAAAGATGCAAAAACCACTAAACCTACTAATAAGTGTAATATAAGTAACTGTAACAGAAGCAACAATAATACTAATAATAATAATAACTGTGATAATAATAGAAGTAGCAATAACAACAGCAATAATAAGTTGAGATAACAATAAAGAGCTTTGCTATAGTAGGAAACCGAAGTTTGAGATGCACTGACAGTCTGGTGTTTATAGTCTGACTGATTGAGCTGTTCTTATGGGTTAGTTGGGTAGGCACACGGACAGGCACTGCATGCGATGGGGTGATGGTGTGCGTGTGTATGTGTTGGGGGATGTTCTGATGTAGGACAGAGGGGTGGTGGGGCATCCGAAAGGGGGATCTGCAGTCCCGTCAGGGCTCATTTCTGCCCGGTGATGGACTGGGATATGGAGCGTGGGGGAATCATGTCGAGCAGATACTCCCGCTGACGGTCCGCTAGGCTGGATGCCTTGTGGCCCCCGATGGCTCCCGGATTTAGATAGGCAATATTCAGACCTGCGATGGAGGACAAAGACAGAGAGGGGCCGGGAAAATTCAAGAAAACAAAGATAAGAAGTTTAAGAGGTGTTTAACAAAATAAAGTTTGTGACAAACTGGAAGAACAACAAAAACTTCTAATCGAATCCTAACAATCATGAAAGAACATAAAAATAAAACACAACAAAATAAGTGAGAAAACAATTATGATTAAAATAAACTGCTAAATTTGCTAAATTCATAATTTAATATTAAATATATTCTGTATATTCAATGGCCCCCAAACACACTTTTGGATACTAAAGTCAAAATTAAAATGTGTACTTATTGTGTTCATATTGTATTGCAAAACACTTCTGCTATTGAGGTGGGATATGGGTAAGGTTATGGACAGGTTTGGTGGTATGGGTAGGTTTAAGGGTGGGTTAAGGTGTAAGGGATGGGCCAACAGTGTAATTACAGAAATTAATGACCTGATGTAATTACATGCAGGTATACTAAAATATAAGTACAATGTAAAAACATGTATGTACACAAAAAGTGCATTGTACCAAATGATTAATTTAAAAGTACATAGTAGTACACTAAATATAAAATGGGACCACATTTTTTATCTAATTAATTACATAATGTGGCGATTAATTAATTGCACATCAAATCATCCCCAAAAGATCATTTGAAGTCATTATGATGTTAAATGAGAAAAGCATCAAACAGACATTACAAAAGTAGCTTTAGAAAGTTTTTTTAAAAATAATTTTTAAAATAAATAATAAATCACAGATAAGTACATTTCAAAACAAGGACAATCTTCAAAGAAAGGATGTTAGACCTTCACTAACTTCAATTAAATTTATTTTATTAACTCATCTTTTTTTGATAACATCCTAAAACTCTATTTAGCATTAGCTCCAGCCATTGTTCAAATGAAGAGAGCGTTGACTTTCACTGCTTTATAATAATTCTACATCCTGAAATCTTTGTCAGGTGGCCCAGCCTAGTTTTATGATGAATTGAATATTTCCCTTTATCTTCAACACTATTGCAGAGCACTTTCTCTGGTCATTTTATTCTAGTCAGTCTACTTGGGGTCCAACAGCATGTCAAGAATTGCATAATCAATGAGTTGAGACTGGACCTCAGGGGTGGATGAATGTCAATTTAACAAAATGTGATTCCATAATTAATCCTTAACCCATACAACATTTCCTCACCGTGCGGTTTCAAAATCATGTAGTTAAGGTATGCTGTGCATTCCTAATTAAACTGCATTATCTTACCAGGGATGTTGTAGATCTGCCTGCGGCTGTCATGCTGAGCCCGACTGCTGCTGCTGGTACTGCTGCCACAGCGCTTGCTTGTCATATCCAGCAGCCCACTGGCCACTGAGAGCTGGGAGGCCTGGGCAAAGTTAGAGAGGACACCTCGTGCTGAGCTGGACAGACCCCGCTGTAGAGCGGCCTGTGGCTGGGGAGTCTGAAAGAGAAAATGAGGGAGAATCAGCGTTAAATTTCATGACACCTCTTTGTACCATTAAACTGATAGAATCATCAGTCATTAAAATCTGTGATTAGGTGAAGGGCCAGAAAAAAAACCATTTGAAGCCATTTCAAAATCCATAAAAATGGTCTCATGAGATCCCATTATTTGTACACAATGAGAGTGTGCACCTGTCGGAGGGCATGGTGTCGGATCATGGTCTCCCCTTTGCTCACGCTGGGCACAGTCTGGGCAGAGCTGGGGGACAGAGCAGCCTGCTGCTGCAACCTCTGCTCTATTTCCTGAATGGACAGAGACAGAAACAGGAAGTCAACATACAGTTACAGAAACTACAAGCTAGCAGTGTCAGTTGCAATGTCAGCAAAAGTCAATACTACTACTACCACTTCTACTACTAAAAATAGTGGGGTTTCCTGAATAAATAATAAAATGATATATTGTCCTGATTAATTACTTAAATTTGAAGCAAATGCTAAATAATTGAGAAATAAATGTAGGTTATATGTCATTGTTTTTTATTATTATTATTATTATTTGTTAATATTTCACATTTTTTTTAAATAAAGCAGTGTGCTTTGTAGCTTACCAGTGTTATTTTAATATTATTTCTATACAATAATAGTATGTATTAATATTTTGGATCCGCTTATATTTAGTTTTTATTATAATTTCAGTTTTAGTTTTAAAAAATGTTTTATTTTAATACTTCATCATAAAGGTGAAGTTTGTAATTTTATGCTAAAATACATTCATTTTTGCAAAGGTTGTTTTAAAGGGGTCATATGATGCGATTTCAATTTTTCCTTTCTCTTTGGAGTGTTGTCTCAATCATTCATCGCTGAATCGCTTGCAGTTAGTCCAGAATGCAGCCGCGAGGTTGCTGACTGGTACTAAGAGGAGAGAAAGCATTTCTGCTGTCCTAGCATCTCTTCATTGGTGACCGGTGCAGCATAGGATCCATTTTAAGATTTTATTATTTGTGTATAAAGCATTAAATGATCTAGCCCCATCATACTTGTCCGAACTTCTCAGCTATCAGCAATCCTCTCGCTCTCTCAGATCCTCTGATAAACTTTTCTTGCATATACCTCGCTCTCGCTTGAAATTTAAGGGGGATCGGGCTTTTTCTGTAGCCGGTCCTCGACTATGGAACAGCATACCTCTGGACATTAGATCTGCGCCTTCCCTTCCTGTTTTTAAATCCCGCCTGAAGACTTAGCTTTATTCCTTGGCTTTTGGATGAAATGTATGTTTGTGTATGTTAATGTGTTTTGTATTGATTATGTGTTTTTGAGTCATTTCTTTTATTCTCTTAATCTCTATATTTACTTTATTGGTATATGTACAGCACTTTGTCATACACTAGCTGTTTTTAAATGTGCTATATAAATAAACTGACCCTGACCTTGACCTTGACAACACTGTTCCACAACACTTCAACCCAAATATTCAGATGTGTGCAGCACATTTTATGGAGGACTGTTTCCTGATCCTGGGAGAGTAGACTACAATGCCGGCTGTTCTGACTCAAAGACTGTAAGTATGTTTTTATATTTAAAGGAGTTGCCACTGATGATGCCAATCACAACGCATTGGATAGCTGGCCAATCAGAGCACACCTCGCTTTTTCAGACCGATGAGCTTTGTAAAAATCGATGCGTTTCAGAAAGGCGGGGCATAGAGGAGAAACAATAATGTACAGTATGTGGAAAATAATGTGTTTTTTTAACCTTAAACCGCATAAACACATTTCATTACACCAAATACACAAAATAATGTTCTTTTTAGCAACATCATACGACCCCTTTAAAAATATGCTTTATTTTTGTAATTCCACTAGGTGACACTAGTAGCACAGAAACTGCATATTTTACCTAATTTCAGTTAGTTGCTGGGGCAACATTTCTAATTTTCCTTTAAGTTTTTTCTATTAAACAATTTTTAATAGTTTTAATTTTAGTTGACAATAACAGCACTGCAGCATACTAGATTGTGGTGTACTGAAACTTAACGTGTGTGGAGAATCATCAAGCTTCATTTCTTCATTCAAATTTTGGAATCCTGACAACTCTATCAGCAGTGAAACGAAAACTCAAGAAACTGACTGACCTGTTCTTGCTGCAGAGCCTTAACGAAAGCGTTCTTGAGCCTATTGGTGTGCTCGGCCTTCAAGGCCTTCTTCTGATTGGACGTCATGCACTGCTCACAGAGAATGCGACCACTTTTCTCCTGCTTCCAGTGTGGGGTAAAGTCAGTCCTGCACTGGGCACAGAAGAACGGCTCCACGTGTGGCAGTGACCCCCGCATTTTACCTAGCAAAAGCAGAAAACATGAGTTTAGTGATTGAGCAGAATTAGATGTGAATTAGTACTACAATACATAAACTGAAATTGCAATATGGCCTTTTGTGATTATTAAACCACATTCGCTTACTTCACTTTTAGGTCAAGTGTGAATGGTCTTTAACGGTTTCCACTTGCACAACTTTAGTACAAATTTTGAACATGAGAGCAGCTGTTTAAATGTGTTTTTTGACTTTTGATCTTAGCATTAGATGTCAATGCTTATCAAGTTGCAATATGATTTTTTTTAGGCCATATTGCGCAGCCCTAATGTGCATGGTGTTTTTGTGGTGTGGGTGGTTCCTCTCGCTCCTACCCTGACTATCAATGACACTCTGCACGACCTCCTCCAACCCCACCATGTAGATGAACTCAGAGTTGGCAGCAGAGGGCAGGAAGTGCAGCAGGGGCGCTGGAGGTTTAGGTGGAGGTATCTCCAGCAGGGTCTTCTCCAGCTGCTTGCGGAGGGCCAGTTTAGCGGCTGCTTGGCTGCTGGCCTGGTCGTTCAGAGAAGCCACGCTGGAGGCACTGGAAAGGGTGGAGGGGCTGACGGCACCAACCCCACTCACACCCACCCCGACGCCAGCTGCTCCTGCTGCCTGCATGTGTGCCAGGTTCATGTAGATAGCCGAGGACGAGCCTGAACGCTGCGAGACCCCCACCTGCTGGCTGGCAGCCTGCATCACACAAAGCAAAAGGGCAAATCATCAGTAACCCACATAATCCATTTTATGAATGATTCATGTTGCAGCTGGGCGATGTATTGAGTATACGACATATTCAATATGATTGTGTTGGCGATATGAAACGAAACAACCATATGAATATTGCTGTGATTTAATGCACAATTTTTATTCGGCTATTAAGCTGAGGCCCGTTCCAGTTGACTTGTTTTATGCACCATCCTAAGAAGAGATATTTTAAAACATGATTTAAACATCAGGAGAAAAAAAAAAAGAACGACCTTTGATTCAGTTTCTTTCAAACTGTGCACTTGAATAAATGGGTTCAAACACTTGTTCAAAATTACTTAATACTTAAAGGGGTCATATGATGCAATTTCATTTTTTCCTTTCTCTTTGGAGTGTTACAAGCTCTTGGTGCATAAAGAAGATCTGTAAAGTTGCAAAGACTAAAGTCTCAAATCCAAAGAGATATTCTTTTGTAAAAATCGACGCGTTTCAGAAGGCGGGGCATAGAGGAGAAACAATAATGTACAGTATGTGGAAAATAATGTGTTTTTTTAACCTTAAACCGCATAAACACATTTCATTACACCAAATACACAAAATAATGTTCTTTTTAGCAGCATCATATGACCCCTTTAAAATTACTCGTGTTCACAGATATACGAGCACTGCATGTCAAATACTTTAAAATGTTATAGTAAAAATATATATATTGAAATTAACGGTCACACTTTATTTTAAGGTTCAGTTCTCACCATTAACAAACCATTAACTATGACTTTTGCCCCAATAAACTCCTAATTTGCTGCTTATTAATAGTTAGTAAGGTAGCTGTTAAGTTTAGGTATTGGGTAGGATTAGGGATGTAGTATATTGTCATGCAGAATATGTGCTCAATAAGCACTAATACACAGCCAATATGTTAATAAAAGGCATGCTAATAATCAACTAGTTAATAGTGAGAATTGGTCCCTATACTGAAGTGTTACCAAATTATAATGAAATATTCTGTGTAAGTACTGAGATATATACACACACACATACTACTATTTAGACATTTTGGGTCGGTAAGATATTTTTAGGTTTCTGAAAGATGCTCACTAATGCTCTATGCATTTGATCAAAAATACAGTAAGAACAGTAATACTGTAAAATATTATCACAGCAAGTAACTGTTGTATATTTGAATATATTTTAAAGGAGACATATTATGCCCCTTTTTACAATATGTAATATAAGTCTCAGGTGTCCCCAGAATGTGTCTTTGAAGTGTCAGCTCAAAATACCCCACAGAACATTTATTATATCATTTTTAAAATGCCTATTTTGAGTGGAAGCAGAAACACGCTGTTTTTCGTGCCTGTCTCTTTAAATGCAAATGAGCTGCTGCTCCCCGCCCCCTTTTCCAGAATAAAAAACATCTCTTTTGGTTCTGATTATCATATTTATCGCCTGAAATCATGCGTTTTAAACCATATTAGTTTAAACTTCTGATATACGGTTTTCTGAGTGCACACATCCGAAGCACACGGACTGAAAGCGGCTGTCACAGCATGCGAGTACTAAACAAAGTTCTCATTCACACAAAGGGTTACGTTAAAAACACACGAGTTACAAAACCAGTCGGTTATGTCTGTGAAGGTTTTAGATCTGTGTGGCAGCAGCAATATACAATAAATAAATCAATAAATCCACTACTTTCTTGTCTCCTCTGAGGCTGGGATTCTAAATAGTGTTCTGTGCTCATCAGTGCAGCCAAAGGCAGAACAGTTAGCATGTTTTGCTCAAACTTTCGCCATGGCATTAGAACTAGTACACCGTTGTCGCTTGCTAAATCAAAATGACGGCGCCGTGGGTGGAAACTTACAGATTAAGGGGCGGTAATATTATAATAAGATCCCTTTGCAACGTCACTAGGGGAGGGAAATCAGACGCGCTTCGTTTTCTCAGACGCTTGCAAAAAAAGGCTTCCCAAAACAAAGTTACTGGGTTAATCTTTTTCACGTTTCCTTGGTTGGTAGATGCACCGGGGACCTGATTATAGCACTTAAAACCTGGAAAAGTCAGATTTTCATGATATGTCACCTTTAAAATATAATTTAATCTAGTGATGGCAAAGCTGAATTTTCAGCAGCCATTACTCCAGTCTTCAGAGCTCAAGAAATATTTCTTACTATTATCAATGTTGAAAACTGAACTGTGCTGACAAATATTTTTGTGAAAACTGAGATACATTTTTCAGGATTCTTTGAATAGAAAGTTAAAAAGTACAGCATTTATTTTGAATTAGAAATCCTTTGACCATATAACATTTTTACTGTCACTTTTGATATCTTACCATAAACTTTACAAAATGTATACTTTGTCAAAAGACTGAAAATACTTTTGTTATATCACTCAGCCCTAGTTCATGACTTCAGCATTTTGAAATAGGCCAGTAAAAAAATATATTGAGCAAAGAAAAAAAAAAACGTGTGAAATGTTCGCATTGTATAATTGTTTTAAAAGTTCAATGTCAGTAAATTGCAGGGAGAAAACCCACAAAACAAATTAGGACAATGGCTGTGAGCTTGACTGTTTGACCGTACCTGCTGATAGCTCACTGCGTTACCCAAACCACCTGTGGAGGAGCGGCCCATGCCAGGCTTGGAGGGCACTCTCTGACCCTGAAGCTGGGCAGGATTGGGTGCAATAACCCGCTGTGACATCATCATTGGGTGCAAAGATGCATTGGCAGCAGACCTGATTACTGTGTGGCCCTGAGGGAGAAAAAAACACATTCAGAATTATTAATAACTCTGCAATGCACTGCATGACCACTAGATGTCAGCAGACACTGTATATCAGATTGCAGAATGTTGCCATCAAATGCTTTGTTTGTACTCAACAGATGGACCGTAATTAAATATGGTAACTGGTACCAATCTATACGGTTATGCTGATCTTAAGGTGCTGCTCCCATGGCAACCAACAGCAGGCTCTAACATGTTCAGTCTAATGTGTACAACATAATGAGGAGTATTCATGTGCATTGTGCTTGTGCTTGAAATCATCAGTAATGCATGTAGGAAAAAAACACAAACACTGCTCATATTTAGAAAGGCATATACTGGTGCGCATAACCCCCCATGTACCTGTGCAGTGCGCAGGCTCTGAGGCTCAGATGAGTGCATGCCGGGCCGCACAGGTAGTTTCCCGAGCCCCTGAGAGCTGTGCATGGGTGACAGCTGCACTGATGACGGGGCATTCTGGACCACCGGCACCTGAAAAGAGAAATGAGAGGTCAGAGCCATTCTATCAAAAATCATACTTATGTACAGAGATTCATTATAACTTAAAACAACAAAAAACACAATGTATTAGTGGAACACAAGCACCATTTTTTCAGTTAAAGCTGCTGTGCGACTTCCACCAATTGGAAGCAGAAAAATAGGTATTGTTTTGGATTTTACTGATTGTTTGGGATTTGTTTTCCTTTTTGATCCAAGCACTTCCCTTATACATTGTTCAACAAACAGGTAGTCCTGTCCTGAACTCATTAATTGAGGTTTCTGATTAGCTTTGTTTTTTTATTTTTTACACAGCCTAGTGATGTCATATAGACAATTGTGACGTCTCACACTTATTTCGGAAATATGATAGGTAGAATTTATGCATAAAACATACCAAACATATGATTAGCATATTCATCTATCATGGTATTTTACATGCTAGGGCATTTCAAGAAACATAATAATACATAAATCAAATAATAAAGTTATTACTACTGTGCATGTCTAAAAACAATGCATTACCATGTATAATAATAATAATAAATAAATAAATGCTGTGGTTAAAAAGACATTAATAATAATACAAATTATTGTATGCCTCAGTAGCACCAAATTTTCATCTTCCAGCTTAAGAGCAAGCAAACATTATTCACGCAGAGTGGGTTGTGGCACTTGCATGTCATACAAGAGTGAGTGTCTATGGGCCGTTCCTGCATCTAGACAAACACTGAGTTGAGAAGGTAAGACAAAACATCTCAATGGCACAGTACATGGACAAACATTACACAGAGCTGTGATATGGTATCTGTGAGGTTATGGCTGCCCGTCTCACTCCTTGTTACCCTATTTCACCCCCGCTAGCAACTAACGTCCTTTCAACAATAAAACGATTTACCTCGACAGTTTTTCCTGGCATTAATATAACACTCAGCTGGACACGAGGGGAGGTTATTTTGCTTGGTGCTAAAACACTGAAGGTGAACATGCTGTACAGAGGAGCTGCAGTGGAGATGTAGTGCACAAATACAGGCAGATTTACAGCATACAACACTGCGACAATCAGTCAATGCTGGGGTTTTTTGTTTGTTTTTTTTTTTATTCTAAAGTGCTGTCTCCAATTACAATTTAATATGCAGAGACAACTATGAGAAAGCTGATTGTGAGCTGGTTTCACAGAAATTGGAAGAGGAAGTTCACAGTCAAATTTAGAACATAGGATGTTAGAAGTAACTATACTCCACTTCAAGTCGATACCAAAACATTTTTACTGCTGCAGAGCGACAATTTAGCACACGAATGTCATAGCTCATGAATATTAACTAATTTGTACTGGTTCATAATTTGCTTGGCTCAGCAAGTCATGTGACCTAATTAGTATTCATGAGCCGGGTCTTCACTATAGTAGAATTGTGTAAATTTGCAAACAGTTGCTATCTGAATTAATGTGTAATATACCATCTTTACCGAACTTCGCCGTCGTGTTTTGCATCGACTTGCACACTATCATTATGTTTAGAGTCAGTAAGACCGAGTTCTTAGCTCACCAAAGCTGCATTTATTTAACCAAAAATTCAGTAAAAATAGTAATATTGTAAAAAAAATTATTACTATTTAAAAAATATGTTCCTATTAAATATAATTTTAAAATGTAATTTATTCCTGTGATGCCAAATCTGAGTTTTCAGCAGCTATTACTCCAGTCTTCAGTGTGGCATTATGTTTCAGAAATCATTCTAATATGCTGATTTGCTGCTCAAGAAACATTTTATTATTAATGTTGAAAATTTTGTGCTGCTTAATATATTTGTGGAAACAGTGATACATTTTTTCAGGATTTTGAAATAAACAGAAAGTTCAAAATAACAGAATTCATTTGAAATGGTAATCTTGTTACATTGTTAATATCTTTACTGTCCGTTTTGATCGATTTAATGCATCCTTGCTGAATGAAAAAAAAAAAAAACTAAAATCCTTAAATCCAGCTCACAACTCAGTTTTCCCTTTCTCATACGTTTGTTTTCTCACATGGCTTCATATAAGCCTGACTTAGCCATATAAAATACTTGGGAATAGAAGGATTTTCTATTCCGATTTAATGCATCCTTGCTGAATGAAAAAAAAAAAAAAACTAAAATCCTTAAATCCAGCTCACAACTCAGTTTTCCCTTTCTCATACGTTTGTTTTCTCACATGGCTTCATATAAGCCTAAATCAATGTGAATGTGCAGCCTGTAGCCGATGATGACAATAAACTGTGCATTTCTACACCAAAATAAGATCCCTTCCATTAAAAAGAAATAAATAAACAAAAATAAACTAAGCTGTTTACACCAGGAGCAGCTTCAGCTGATGGACTTCTCTATTTCTGACAGGCTGGAGCTACTCCATCCACTTTATTTTGCCCGACCACATAAAATAATGTGATTTTATTTACAAAAACCCAGTGTGTGACTTCATTATCATGTATTTTAGTCCTTTTATATTCAAATAACTTCTTGACAGTGATCTCAAAGCCAGCTTGTAATGTCTCTGGCCCTTTAAAGGAACTACTACCTGACTGATCTGCATTGAGTTAACTGTACACTACACTAAACGAGCAGGTATGGCAGGGTATGAGGCGGAGAGGTTTTCTCAATTCCAAAAAGGTCTTCAACATGCCTGTCTATCCAATAAATATAATTCAAATTCACAACTGACAAGAGTGTAGAGTTACTGGCCCAGTTGGCATCAAGCGTAGAGTAAGGCACTGGGCATCGTGTACGGTTCTGACCTTTTGCACTACGTTTTCCTTCTGCATCTGACTCTGCCTCAGTTTCTTCAGGAGCACCAGCTTGGCTTCCTCCAGCCTGAGCTCCTCTCGGAGAGCTTTGATCATCTGCTGCCGCTCGTCGCCAGTCTTCCCCTGCAGAACAAGCACACACAAGAGATCGGCAATCAGGTTCACGAGACTCTTTCAAAGGGTTTAATGGTGGGTAACCAGCAATAGATCTGATTCCTCCATGGGATACTGCACCTTAAACATCTCCAGGTTGGCCTGATGCTGTTTCTCCTCAGGGTGAGGCGTGCTCCGGGGGCTGGATGCCTCGTTGTCTGATAAAATGATAACGTCTGGTGATGGAGTGCGTCGCTCTCGAACTATATCGCTATGAAGAGCAAAAATAGTGGGATTTTTAGGGGCACCGTAAATAGAAATTTTAAGGGAGTCCAGATGAAAAAAAAAGGCCTAGCAACACCTGCAGGATAAAATCATTAAAGTATTATTTAATTTCACACCATACAGCAAAAACATACTCTACTTCCCAGAATATCAGTTGTTTTTTAATAATCTGAAATGGGCTACAATTTACATTCCAAAGCGACTTACATAACGCAATTAACTTCAAGCAAGCAAAACGATTGAGCCCAAGGTACGTGAGCCCAAGTTTATTTATATAACTAACTTTCCTCACACTAGTAGTTTTAGGTTTACTTTAAATAAATTTGTTTAGTCCTGGCATTTATTATACATTTTGTTTATAAAGAATGACACTAAAATGTATGTTTGTTTTATACTTATATATATATATATATATATATTTATTTATTATTTCTGTTATGTTCTGAACAGGGTTATTATAGGTAAACTAAAATTAAAACCATTAAAAAAACATTTTTGTTACTGGAAATAAAATAAATGTTAACAAATAAAATAAAAAATAAAAATTATTATTTTAGCTAGCTGTATTAGACAGTACTTCTCATTTCAATTTAGTTTAACTTGATGTACTAAACTAACTAAAACTGAAATAAAAACTTATATAAATATAGAACAATATATATAGTTTTTTTATGTACATAATAGGGCTGCACGATAAAAATCGCATGCGATATTTAATGCGCATCTTGTCAGTAAAGCCACTTCTGTAATCAGCGGTAAATCTCCATCACGTGCGGGCTTTCACATGGAGCAACATTTACTACACAGAGCCGTTGTTCACAGGCAAGCTGCGCAACACCACATTCATAATCGCGCAGCTTGTCATTGAACAACGGCTCTGTGTAGTAAATGCTGCTCCATGTGAAAGCACGCACGTGATGGAGATTTACCGCTGATTACAGAACCGGATTTCTGACAAGATGCGCATTAAATATCGCATGCGATTTATTGTGCAGCCCTAGTACATATAGAAAACCGAGGAAAAAAAAAAAAAAAGACAAAAACAACAAAATGACCAAATTTTGAAAATTAAAATGAAAATGCAAAAAGACAGAAATAAAAACGTATTCAAAACATTAACAAAAATACCAGAAAAATACTAAAATAGCACTTAATAACATTACGTGTAAAGGATTTGTTGCAGAGTAAGTGGAACTATGACTTTTTAGAGTTTATTATATTTGTAAACATTGCATTTTATTTACCGGTATTTCTGAACATAATAAAACCTGACTTACACACAGATTTTCGTTCAACAATGCTTATAGTCATGTGCAATTTATTTTCCAGAAAATACGGTACTCATTTCAACAAACAGATGTTGAACGCTCTCCCGAAACCTCACCTCCTTCTGGCACTCATGTCCACTGGCTCATCCACTATGTTTTCCTTCCCATTCTTACTTGGACCTCCATGGCCCCCGACTCTCAAACTTCCATTCATCTTCTCCTCGTAGGCCACAGCTCCCATCAGCCCCTGGCTGCCCCCGGGGCCTTTGCCCTCTGCCATGGCTGCCGCAACCGCCGCCCCCTCCAAAGCGGCCAGATCCTTGCGTTTGAGGAGGGCAAGCATCTTAAGCCTCTCCATGGCCTCGTGACCCTCCATCTTCAGGCGCTTGGCCAGTGCCTCGTCCCGCTCATCTTGCGCCTCCAGACCCCGCTTCAGCAGGTTCAGCCTCAACGCCTCCTCAGACATCCGCTCCATCCTGTCAGCGACACAGGGAGTGAACAAATTTTGTGAACAAATGCTTTTAATCACCCATAGTAGCAAAGCAGGTGCAAAGTTGATAAAATAAAAAAATAAAAAAATAATAAATAATCAAGTAATATTTACTTGATAAATATTCATAAGAAGTTAATAAATGCATGGTGTTCAAGAGTACATTCATTTTCACAGCTGTATCAAGAGATTTTACTGGTACTGCTATCAAATACTGAAATGTTGGTATCGCGACAGCCCTAATCTGTAGGAATCGGTACAAATTCCCCTGCTTGAGACCAATGCAAATCACTTAATTATTCTTTTACAGCGAAAGAGCTGAGCAAGTGAGAGAGAGAGAGTGAGAGAGATCTACTATGACTCCTCACACGCCCACAGACTTAACAGAGCCATTAGTCTGCCTCGTGCTGAGGCTGTGGACTACAGTGCTCGAAAACCAAGGCCTCTCCAGGCTTAATTGATAAATTACATGATCATTACATACAAATCAGTGTAACTTTCATGGTTTGACTGAGGAAATTTGCTTGTGCTGCTAGTAGAGAGGGTCTCCCTACCTCACATTCAGCGCCTGTTACGACGAGAGTGATTTCTGAGTGCAGACACACAGCTGAACGGAGCTTCCCAAAACTTCCACTGACAACGTCACAAAGCGGTCACTGAGAGGGGACCGACTTTCCCCACTTGTGGGATCGTATTTCTGGCACCACATTACTGAGACTGAAGATACAAGTCTTACTCGAGAACTATAATCAGAGGATTTTTCTCTCTGATGAAGTGGAGTTTCACTCATGGATCAACATCAATGCTTTCAGCTGACAAATATATGTATTTTCCCCGTTTCCATTTTATAAATATATATATATTTTTCATTATTTTAAAGTTAAAGTGTGCAATTTCAGCTATGGAGACACGACTATGGGTAAATCAGTTGAAACAAAATACATTTTGTGACACTAGCAATATAGAAATTACGTTTCAGCTGTAATTTTTATTTGATTTAAATAAAACCAACAACTGTGCTTATTTGAATAAAGAGAAAACAGGAAATAATGACTCAGAAAAGGTGTGAGCTGCATTAAAACTCCTAATCGCCTACATTTGAACTAGTGATACACTGAAATTTCAACAAAAACATGTTCTACAAGGCCGGAATCACTGGGTCACATTTACATTAAAGGGGGGGTACAATGCTGTTTCATGCATTCAGAGTTGTTTACACTGTTAAAGAGTTGGATTCTCATGCTAAGCATGGACAAAGTTTCAAAAAACAATTTGGACGTATGACAGAGTATTTCTGTGCCAAAAATCTTACTTTCGGGTTCGTACAAGTTTCGGAGAGTTTTTTTTCGATCATGGCTCTTAATGACGTAAACGAGTGTGAAACTCTTTATATGGGCATTTCTCCCGGAAGAATGCGCCCGCGCACG